CAAATTAAAAACATTATATAGTATTATACACACATTTGGGGGCTTTTAACTGCCCTGGGGTGCACTCGGACATACAATATATTAACTTAACTATTTGTTTGATGAAGTCGTTGTTGTTGTGGGGTAGCTTTTCTTCTGCACTTCTCTGCTTCTTTGCGACTTCGTATCTGGTATATTATAGTCGTTAACGATGTCCCAGTTTTTCCTAGAAGTCAGCATGGTTTCAATAATGGTCTCTGGTTCTAGACTTTTGCCTAGGGCTTCTCGGCGGTGTTCTCCAGCTGTGACATGCGTCACATATAAATACTATGTAGAATGCGTTGTCCATAGGTTCTTATAGTACTAGCACTCGGAAGTATCGAGCTTTAGGTAATCTGTATAGTAATCATGCCCACTTGGTACCTTGGTTCGGTGGAAGTTTACCTCTCCATGTCTGTGGCTGATCAATCGTCCGATTTCAGTATTAAGCGGTGGGTCCATCTACCGCTCTAGCTGATTTTCCACTCTACTGTGAGGCGCACACTTCTCTTGGGGGAGGAGACTAAGGTTTCGTCATGCGTCATAAAGCTGTTTCCTGTCTCTAGCCAGGAAGTCCAGAAGAGCAATTCCAAAGTCAGCGTACCAGTTTGGGCCTTCCGCTCTGTTGAATTCGCTGGCAAGCACAGTCTGCAGATTTTTATGCTGCAGTCTGGTGCATCAGGGTCTGACTCGCTTCACAGCAGTTCAGGTTTATCTCGATAAATTTAGTCATTTTTTTGGAGTATTTGGTGTCAGTGACCTTTACTGATTAATTCTCTCTGTTTATAGTCGGTCTCCCCTTAACCTTTGTGAGCTGATACGCTGGGCATTTTCTGCTGCCCTGGTAGTGGTTGGATGCCTCCTTTAGATCAATGAAGGCAGAGCAATTTGGAGAGCGTTTGCAGTCGGATGCCATGTGGGCTATCAAAGCACAGAGGCTGCAAGCGTTATTGTGGTCGGGTCCTTCACATTTATGACTTGTGAGTCTGTACCCCAGATAACGGAAGCATCTAGGAACAGTGTCTTTTAGCTTAAACTCTTGCGTTGATCCAACCAATCTTTAATCGTCTGTTTTGACCAAGTGAAGCGCATCAATGCTCTTCAGCCCGACAGTGGCTCGTTGGGTCCCCAAAATGGACTGCCAGATATTTTTCACCTTGACTGACTAATCGTCAGGAGTGAATCCTAGAGCGTTTCAGACGCTTAGTTCAACATCGGCATCCGATATGATATAACACTGTCCAGATCTTGGATACTGATGTTGTCATAATTAACAAGGTCCCGTATAGCTACGCTGCTTCCTATTTTTGTATTCAGCTCCTCGGCTTTCTTCATGTATTCGTGGCTTAGCCTGATCAGTATCCCCTTGTTTCGGCTTTCGGTGATGGAAGACATCTGATCCCCGATAGCCTCTATATTGACGCTCTGCTTAATTTCCCTCAGGATATCATGGTTAGGTTCGCCGTTTCCGAGCTTAACCGCGATGGAGTTTGGGAGTGGTCTTTTGGTCTTCCTCCTACTTCTTTTTTCCACAGCTTTCCTTTGGCTTTTTCTCTCTCCATTTTTGTCCGGCTTGGAGTTGGAAAGTCCACGCCGTCAAAGTCCATGTGTGTCTTCCATGACGTCTGGTTTGTTGCAATAAGGCGATTCCCACGACGTGGATGTTTGCATTTTAGCCTGTGAAGCGTAAGAAGGGACTAATGATGACTTCAACAGCTTGATGTCCTCTTGTTGTTTAGCGAAAGAGAACTTAAGTCCCTAGCAGACTTTCAGGATCGTTTCTTGTTTCGCAAGGTTGGACCACGTTCCGTGCTTGCCTTGACTTGCACCTTTTCCACTTCGTTAAAGGCTACGTTGAGGCTATTCTTGTTCATTCTTAATGTTTCCACAGCTTCGGCAACTGCGTCTATTATTGCTTCACTCACCCACGGTGACTTAGATTTCTCCTTCACTGCCTGAAAATAGTAATTACTCTCTAGAAGCACGTTTAGTATTTTGGTTARTTGTTTAACCAAGTTCTTCATGTTTGACATCGCCGAAAATGAGGCCGGGCTCTTTCATTCTCTTCTTCAAGGATGCAAGTTTAGCTTTAAGTTTGGACTCATCATTACTGTTTTGGGCAGGGTGACAATCGGAGACTTGCGTTCCAACTGTTTCAACACTAGTAATTGGTAAAGTAACAGGGGCCTGACTGTCCACCCCTGCACTTTCATAGTTTTATGATGACGACCGAAGTGGGCCCGTTCCGCTGGTGCCGTATTTTACCTCGGATCCACCTACTTCTGTCAGCACCTGGTAGATCGAATCCCCTGGTGCTGTACATAATTATCTGTTATCAAAGTCCACTTGTAGTTTTTTGAAGGGTGCCTCTCGAACTTAACCTAACCTATTTGTATCTTTTAGATAAAAACAAAATTTTTTATTCATTTACTGTAAGTACCTATATTTTTAATGATTCATTATATGATCAATCTCATAGTTTTGTAAATAAAAAAAGTGGTTTATTGATTAAGAATACATTTTTGATTAGTAGGTAATACAATTTTATGACTTATTTAATTTTTCTAGGGCTTATTTGAATGCATTTTTATTGTTTATAAGGTCATAAATATCCTAACCCTAGTTATCAAAATGAAAAGGTTACAAATATTAAAAATAAAATTTGTCACTTGAATATTTGAGAAAAAAATGTATGGCTGTTGCCAATGACTAAAACTATCATCATTAAGATGGGTTGCCTCAAGTGTAACCAAAAAATAAATAAAGCTGTAAATAGATCTACTAAGAGTTAGACTTACTTATTAGTTATTAGTTATTGATCAATAAATTATTCCTTAAATTATTAATTTAATAATGCATATAATTTTGAATGTTATACTAAAATTAAATTAATTAAAAATAATTCATTTATCTATTATATTATGATCTAGGTTTTACCTTTGATTAGTGATTTAAAGTAAAATATAAACAACAAACCATTAATATAATAATATAACCTCAAATTAATTCATAAAAAATAATCAGCCTATTGGTTATAATTACTGGTGAATTGTGAGTAGTCATAAGTCAAATGTGCTGTCTGAAAGTTGAGGTTATCTTGTAATAGTATAATGCTGATTTTTTTTTCCAAATATCGGGCAGAATGGATCCCAGTTAGATCTTGCCTCATTGGTTTTATGACAAAATATTCTATGACCATTAAATGTTTGCTCTAGTGTTCCATAACTTAAAAAAATGTATCAAATAGTTTTTCTTACTATTAAGAATGGTTAATGAAAAATTAGTAATTATTTGATCAGCTAGATTTTGACAAAGCCAAGATTATGAAAACATAAGTCCTAGACTTATAAGTCTTATTGTAGTGGTGTTCGGTTGGTTGTTTGTTCTTTTAGTCTCATGGTGTATTTCAATTAATCTAAAAGCAGTCATTAATTAAATTAACACATCTCTCAATACCTAATATAAAATATTAATATACACTAAACACTATGTATATGTAATTATAATTACCTAACTATTGAAACAAATGTTTCATTGACGAGAATGTCAAAAAAACTAAATAAAATTAATTGAAGTAGATATTGAATAACATATCTTTGATAATAGGTTAAAAATACGTGAAAAAGCTACACAGTGTCATATATGTTTATATTATACAATATTTCAGTTCTAAAATATAGAGATAAAGAGCATAATACCACCTTTCAGACTGGACTTAGCCATTCATGTAAATATATAAAAAAAAATCAAATTTCGGGGCTTCTGTACTTGGTCAATCCAATAAAATATTATTTGATGTATAAAATGAGTATTCCTCATTATGTTTTATAGTTAATACCAATTTGGTTTTATATGGTTTTCATAATTTTAATTTAAAAATAAATAGTTGTATCAATTTTCAAAGTATATACATTTAAATGATATAATACAAAAATGATCTTCAGCAAGCTGGACATATTTTTTAATTATACTTACTTATATTAGTATAAATATTTTTTGAAAATAAAAAGTGATCAACTAAAAAGTACTAAGATAATTAAGAGAAAAAAACTTCCATCATAAGTTACTATGGACAGGCATTCCTTATCTTACTATAACTATAGTCGAGCCTCGGATGTCTAGACGCAGCGAATAAAAGATTATTTTAGACAATTTTTTCTTCATATTGAAGGCTCTGGAAATGATAAACCTGTGGTCTCAAATTCTTAAACCATACTTAAATTTACCATGCACAATAGGAAATGATTATAAATAATTATTAAAAAGAAAACGGTTTATCCTTATACTAAGATCAACCTGTATCTGATAATTGATTACCTATTAAGTGTTAACAAACTTTATTTAGAACTATATTATGAATAATATAATAATATTTTTTAGGTAMGTTATATGGTGTYCTATTAAATATTGGCTACAAGTAACTTAATGCATGATGCATATCATTAATAATCTATCACTAAAAATTGAGATGTTAAATAACTAGAAGTGAATTGGTTGTACAGTGACAGTATACCATGTAACCCAAAAAGCCTTTCATTGCATAATAATATACACTGCATACATAAAATATCAATTAGATAGGTATTTAAATTTGTGCACAGGCCTAGTATGACTCAGTGGTTAGCCTCATTGCTCAGTCACAAATGTGTTCTGATGTTAAGCATCGACCAAAATCTCTAGATTCTAGATAAATGACTACGTGGGTTTTAGTGACCTTCCTTACCCCACATACAAGTGTTCCTCAACTAACCATGGCCACCATATAAAATGCTAATGGTCATATTAGCCAATGCTTAAAATCAATAATTATAAGAAAAAAAAAGTGTGTAGAATAACTTGAACTAAATTATAAATATTAATAACAAGTACAAAATAATAAAATACATATAAATGTTTATTTTAAAATGTAATGGTAAATCATATAATTAGTAGTAACATTAAATATAATGAATGTTGATATAATGTAATACATCATTTTTAAATTTCTCAAAACATTAAAAACACAATTTTAATAGAGATATATMATTTTTCTTTTTTAAACAAATTATTTTTAGCCTTGTAATCATTCAGAATCTTAGGACAATTAACCAGATTCTCTTCAGGTTCCCATGTATTCTCATTCAACCCCCAGTTTTTCCATTTAATAAAATACAGAATTTTTTTATTTAATATTTGATGGAAGATTATTTTTTCCACTTCATACTCGTTAGAATTTGTACCTGAAAAATATATGATATGTGATACTATATTTTATATAAAATTGAATAGGTTAAAACAGGCTTACAGGCATTTTAAACTATAAACATTTCTGGTCAATCCAAATTTTAATTTTAATATTTAAAGTACTAATAACAGATTTTTATTAAATTTATCTAATTTATAAATTTAATTATTAAAAAAAAAAACTTGTGTACCAAACAATAACAATATTACATATTGCCGTACACAAATACACAGCTGTGTCCATGCTGTCAATTACACGAGTACAACTGTGAAGTGTGAGATAGGTAACAATTTGCTTGGTTTTTGATTATGATATTAGGCCTAAAGAATGTCATCAAATTCTTAACTAAATGCAGAAAAATAATAACTAAAAAAAAGTGTGATTTTTATTAATCCCCCTAATTAGTTCAGACTTGACTATTACAAGGCAGTCGATCTGGCTATTTAGCTTGAACACTCACACACATTTATGGCAAAAATGATTGTTAGATAAATGCCAACCATACCATTTTCTTGTTGAACACTGTCCAATCATACATTTATTTATTCTTAATATACCTATTACTAAACTTTTATAATATTTACTATTGTTAATATGATTGCCATAAATTAGGTGTAATTGTTTGATATTCAAAAAAAAAATATATAAAATAATCAAGGACAGACGATCATAACCGAAACTCAAAACCGCCACTGTTTATATCATGAAGTTTTAATATCCAAAATGAACGTCTTACCGTTGGACATATTGGCTGGCTGGGCCGCTGGATCAGACGAGCAGTGGAACATGTTAATGGTTATCTTGATGACTGATGAGTGAACGTCGACGGGTCAATGTTTAAGTCAGTGGAGACGTTTAGCGGCGTCAGTGCTGATCATTCGATGTRTACATGCGAGGGCGAATTGGAGTCGCGGAGCTGATCTGCATCAAACCGGCGTGCCTGGAGAATAATAACGATCAACGACCGAGTTGCGTGGTATACTGTCAACATTTACTTCTGTCTACTCATCGGTACTTACAACTGGTTACAACTTAACAAGTCATAACGTTTGGTATTTAGCGATAATATGCTTCTCGTCTGAGCACTGACTAGGTACTGACAATTAACAACACACTGACTATTGACAATTGACAACACTGACGAGTGACGACTGAAAAATAAATAATAATGTACAAGCCGGACGCCGGTACAGCTACAGGTTATAGCTAACAGGGTTACAGGTGACAGAAAAACTTCTCGCAGTGATGTAAGCTGTTTCAGACGACAAGCGTGTACATTTACAATAACTATTGTGAAGTTAATCTTCAGACCGAACAGTGAACACATATCGCACCTAACATATCAATTTGGTATGGACACCAATTAAACATTAAATAAATATTAGACCTATGGAAATATATTACCGTGCGTACGAGCAATCGAGTAATAACCACACGTAAAGATAGTATCAAATATATATAGCCGTCGATGTAATAACTGTGATATAATGTACTGGAAACTAGCAGTTCATCAGTGGCCTCAAAAGAATGACTAAAAAAGAGGCTAATGCGGGGGGGGGGGCAACAAAGGGTGGCCAACATGAATATGTCCACGAACTACATGTCCACATGGATAAATAAAATGATATCAAGAGCCAAAATGTTTATAAATACATTTTATATTTTTATTATTTTATCGTTAATAAGCAAATGTTGGTTTTTTTATTATTAATAAGACGTGAGCCGCAAGTTGGCCACCCCTGCATATACTATATACATTGAGGATATATAACGCCATATTCTGGGTAAAACATGAACCAATATAATATAAATGTGACTCCAAATAAAACCACAGGTAGCTCTGAAAGAGAACATTCTAGGAACCGAATGGATGGTATTGGTAACAACAAAGGAATAGTCCTTTTGTCCTTTTGCGGGTGGTCCCCCGTCACCCACCCACCATGTCATTTCCTGTAACGGCCTCATTGTCCGTTATTTAGTTTTCAATAGTGTCTGTCAGTAAAATACTAATGGTGTAGTTTTGAAATAAATTGAAGCCACGCTATATCTTATATACCTTAGATTCGACTAAACACACTGTCCAGTTTTAATCGCAGAGGTAGAAATTAAGACCGGTTTCCCGGTTCAATCGAAATTATATCGTTTTGAATTTGATCATCAACTACATCAACCGACCGCAATTTGCTTTAAAATTAACAGATAATGTATTACCTACTAAAACAAAAATACAAATTCATGACGGTCACTGTACACAAAAGTACTGCGTAGTACTCCAATTTTGTTTTAACAATGATTCTACTAAAGAAAATTTTCACTTTCCACTTTCAAATTACTTAAAATCTAAGTAACTCGATTTTATTGAAGCTGTTTGCTTGGTTGATGTGTCAGAAAAACAGCTAATCAGTTTACGATGTGATTCAGAGTTTGAAAAAACAGTGAATGAGGCAAAATATTTTGCTAAAGAAAATCAACTTACTGAAGTATACTTTAATGATTTTAGACAAAAAAAAAATTGTCTGGTGAAGAAACTGCTGATGAGGTGATAAGTTCACCTTTCATTGAGTAATAAGTATAGATGTGAAACATATTTCAAAGTGTTAGATAAAGTCTATACATCAATACAGAGTAGATTTTCTGGAGCTAGAAATATCTTAAAGATTTAACTCTTTTATCTCCAGAACGGTTGGGATATTATAGCGAAAATAACAAACCACTACCGAAAGATAGTTTTTCTAAATTTACTTCTTGAGTATCTTGTATTAATTTTGATCAAATAAAAAATAAGTATACAKTATTTTCAAAAATTTATAAAGAACTTATATCTGGTGGCAATATACCATTAAATGTTACATCAAGAATCTCCTAATGAACCAAATTCTGAAAGCGAATCTCTTACAAGTGATGACGAAACTGAACAAAACAAATYATTAAAAGAAGAAATTGGATTTGATAAAGTCTTATATATTTTATCAACTTATGATTTACAGGTAGCATTTAAAAATCTTTACATAGCATTTATGGTATTAGGAACATTAGCAGTTTCATCATCATCAGTTGAAAGGTCTTTTTTTAAGGTATACTTTTTAACCTTACTTTTTAGGTGAAGATAATTAAATCAAGGTTGCGTTCAACTATGCGCCAAGATCGACTTGAAAGTTTAATGTTGAGATGTAGGTACCCATTAATTATGAAGGTGCAATTAATGCTTATAAATATTTAATATAATTTCAAACATCTAGATTCATGATATTGAAATTAGTAGCAATATGAGATGGAAAAACCGAATTCATCAATTAAGAAAAAAACTTCGATAAATTTTATATATTTTAAGAAACTTAAATAAAATTCTGGAATTTCCAAAACTACGTCAAAGTAAACTAATAATTAATTTACTATAAAATTATTTACAACTTGTTCATACGTTATTGAATAATAATTTGTACCTAACGCTGTTTTAAATATTTTCACCCTCGTTATTGTCACTAATTTTATCATTAATCTGAGTTGGTACATAGTTTTGTTACCAACCTCACTAGACCTCTATAGTTAGAAGAATGAAAGAATGTGTCTAGAAGATTGAGGAGTGTTGGCGCTATTGATCTGAATAGAAAAAAGTCTGATTCATTACGTAATACTGAATGCAATATTACTTTTTCCGGTATTTATTTTGATTAAGAATTTAAAAAAAAATCCACATATGGAGATTGTTTTGTATATTTTGTACTTAATAACCTAGGTGATATTCAAGAAGCAAAGGAGTGGCTTAAAAATGAAGGACGTTCTGCTTTGTTTGAAGATATAAAAGAAAAATGGATATTAACCCATGAAATAAGAAAAACTGAGTTTCCTGATCTGAAACTACGCAATCTTCAACAACATGTTTATGGACTGAAAACAGAATATGACCAGCTATCTGCCATATCAACATCATCAAACTTTTGGAAACTCTACCTCCTTTTATATTGAATAACTGATTTATGCTGTACTCTTAAAATACAAAGAGATAGTTCATTTTTATTAGATTCTCTATTGTTTATGAACACAACAAATTATATTTACTTTTATCTAAAAGTACTTTAAAACCTAAATTCCACGTCATGCTTACTCATTATGGTCATATTCTAAGAAAAAATGGTCCAATTATTTTAACATCTAGTATTCGGTTTGAAGCCAAACACAAAATTCTCAAGTCATTAGCAAATGTTATCACTTGTCGGATTAATCTTGGGTATACTATAGCATATAAATTACAATTGCAAATGGTTAATCGTTTACTATTAAATAATACATTTAAAGATCAAAACTTAAAACTTGGCTTAGGAAAATGTATTTACTCTTCTTCAGAATTTTCTCCAACAATATTTACACAACTTCCTAAAGAATTAAAAATGAATTGTTTTCTAGCTTCATGGTTAGAGTTTAAAGGTATATATTATAAAAAAAAAGTTTTGGTTGTTATGGAAACAAACCTGGATGGAAGCATCTTTGGTGAAATTGTATTTATACTTGTTGGAGAAAGTAAAGTTCCCTTTTTTTTATTAAAGCCCTAAATACTATTGGTTATGATTTCCATTATCATGCATATGAAATAGGAGGCGATAACCTTAATGATAATAATAATTTAGTTGGATATTATGTTCATGATTTGTGTGATCCTACACCTACAGTATTACGTATTATAGGAAACAATAAAAGATATGCAACTCTAAGGTATGCMCTTTGATATGTATTAAAAGTTAGGTATATATGCTTTTCTTAAATTTCCTTATAACAATTAAATTTAACCATTTTTTAAGTAATTAATACATTTTTTAATATATTTATGACTGAAATTCAAAGTACAAAATACAATTTGTTACTAAACATTGTTTCTTTTTAGTTTATATTAGTATAAAATATTTTAATATAAAAGTACTACAACTTATATATTTATGTAAGTAATAATTATCAATATTAATATTATGTATACAATTTGTAAATGTAATTACTATATATTTATAACAAATAAATGTTTTCTTTTAATTATTAGTACATGCGTTTTGTATTTATTTATTTACTTATTTTTTTAAAAATAATTTATTAATTCAACACAATTGTCTTATTTTGCTATTTATTGTGTATATATTATGAAATAGTAACTAGGCAATTAATATTGAATGTACCAGGTAGGTACCTATCAAAAATGTATCAACAATACATAAGAATAACTTTTTTAATTTTGAATACATTTTTTGTCAAATTACCTACATGCAATAAGTACTAGTTTCAAACTAATGATTATTAGTTAATTTGAATAATTTATTATTTTAATTTTGAAAACTATTTTTGGTCAAAATAAAAGCAATAAATACTAGTTTCAAGCTAATGATTGTTAGTCAATTCAAATAGTTTTTTATTTTAAATTAGCAAATACTTATGGTTTGAATTACAAGATAATATTGTTAAATTGAAAGTTGCTTATGTCYGAATGAAATCATTAGGTATTAGTTTTAACACTAGATGTAGTAATTTCAACTACTTAAAAAGAATTTGATTAAACTCATAGTCATGTTGATTTTACCTTAGAGTTTGTGATTTTAAGTATAGACTGAAGTTAAATTGGCAATATTTGATGTTATAACAACTAATTGAACATGTTATTAGTAATTTCTTATGAKTGTTAATAATTTTAAACTAAATCAATGTTAAATCAACTACAGATTAGCCTTAGCTCAAAAACGACCCTCAAATGTTAATAATTTTGACACTTTTAGGAGTTGATTTAATCTCAGATTTCTATGCGTGTAAACTAATAACATCCTAACCTAACTATTTACTAATTATTATGTATTTAATTGAAACAGTCCATCTATTCATCATGATSATATATTCTGTACTGTAGATTTTAACTATGATTTATAATTTAAAAAACAATCCACCTAAATAATAAACAATTAAGTAAACCTCGAATAAATTTAAATTTTAAAAACATTTATTTACTAGGGCTCGGATTTATATGTAAATACATATTTTTACTGTGACTTGATAAATTAATTTAGGTAAGCGTTATAAATTCGTTTCAAGGGATTTCCATTGTAATGAACTATATTTTATTTTACATATTTTTACATATCTCTCAATAATTCCATTTTTCCCT